GGAGAATGCACCCCTCTAGAAAATATTGAGACCCTTTAACCTAGTAATTCCACTTCTAGAACCTTATGTAAAGGAAGGAATTAGAAATATAAAAATACATGTTCATGAAAATAGTAAAAAATTTAAAATAATCTAAATGAACTAGCAATAGAACTTGCTTAAGTGAAACATGGTATTTCCAAAAGACAGTGTTATATAAACATCAAAAATGTCTTTTTTGAAGAAATACTCATATGATGAAATAGGAAAATGCATACAATTTTATATGGAAAAAGCAAAATATAAAAACATTATAATTCTACTTTAATAAAAAATACTTGTTTGTATATGTAAATATATGAGTATATCAGTTATACACATATGCATGCATAGAAAAAATGAAAGAAGAAAACAGTATTAATTAGTTATTTTTAGTTGATGGAATTTATGGATGTCTATCATTTTATTATTTACATAGTGTTCTGCTTTCCAAATTATCTATAATAAACATTATTTTTATAATCAGAGAAGAATTAGTGAAATATTTTTCCACTAGATATCTGGGTTACAATTATTTTGTTTTATCCTGTTTTATTTTTTGTCAGGGTGAAGAATATTTTTTAATTTTATAATTTCATAAGTTCTTTTTACATGCCATATGTTTAATATATGGTCTTTGAAGACAACTTATTTACTTTCATTGTTATAAAAAAGTAGCAAGGCCATTATACACATTTAAAAATTTTAATACAATTGTGATTCTTGTAAAATCTTTTGTCTCTCATGGCTTAGAAATTACCTCGTTTATAAAACTCTTGAAAGCCTTTGAGTCAATATGTAGGTTCCTATTATTATGGAAACTGACTTGAAGGTTATAGTAATTTCATTTAGAGAGGATATGGGTTTGGGTTAAAGGTAAATGTCTTCCTATGTAAGCACTTTAAGTGTAAAAGCCATTTGTTTTCCTTTTAAGTAACATTTTAGGGCTTTGTATTTATTTTGTAAGTCTTTTGGGTAGAAACTATTTTGGTGCTAAGTGTACATTGAAATTTTTATTTAAATAATAGCACAGGAATAATGATGATTTTTTTTCCTGAGCATTTCTTTTTGAGGCTTCGGGTTTATTTATTCACCTCTACAAATAGGACCTGAGAAAAACAAAGTATCTATAGAACTGGAGCTAGAGTGGACTTTCAAGTTTATCCACTTCAAATTCTGGCAAGTATTCACCTCTCATCCATCTCCTTTTGCTCGAGGATTTCTGGAAACAGGGAGCTCTTGATTTCACTGAGTTAAGCCCTAGTTGGGTTAAATCTTTCTACTTGTTGGAAAGTTTCTTTTTTGTATTAGGTGGTCATCTGCTCCTTATAACTTTACTCACTGATTTTAGTTTTGTGCTTGGTACATAGAAGACATTCAATATATGTTAGTGTGTCAGTGAGTGAACAAGGGAATGAATGAATACCAACCACTTAATTAATGTTAGAGTTCTTGAGAGAACCTAAAGGATGACCCAGCTTGAAAGTAGCCACTAGCTGCTTCCTCTTGAATTTCCCCTCATTGTCAGGAAATTCTGTTCCTGATTTCTATGGAAGTAACTACTCTGACCATCCAAAACTTCTATAGACATGGCTTCTCTGACCATTTGACCATCTGAACCATCAGGTTCTTACAAGGGGTACCTTGGAAAAGCCCTGTCCACCTTGCAACTGTGTTGTAGATATGGAACAAGGGATGGGGAAGACATGGCCAACCACTGGGGTCTCGTTTCTTTAATTATTTTTAGGTCTTTCAAGGAAGTGGTATGTATTCCATTGATAAGTAGAAGTTTTGCTATATCTAGCTTCCTGTTTCTTTGTTCATTCTTTCATGTTCTTTCTAAGTTTTTTGACATATGAACTGATGCTCTTATAAACTTTGCAACCTGTCACATGTCATTTGTGTGTCTATCTTGTCCTCCCACCTTCGCTACAAAAGTGATGTGTTTCTTAGTACAGGAATGCTGTTTGATTCGTCTTTAGTGGTATGTGTTTAATAGGTGCCCCATAAATATCTGTTGAACCAATGTCTTCATTATTTGAAAATTTAGGTATTTAAACCTCATTTCTCCCTGTCCTAGCCATAAAAGTCCCAGTTTTTCTGAATTGGACGTCCATTTCCTCTTCCTTCGATTTTTAGTTATGTTCTTTCTTCTGTTCTGGATTATTTCTAAGTTCTTGCTTTAGTTGTGGAGCACAGGACAAATGATAATCAAATAAAGATTTAATTAGCATTTCTTCAGTTCTTAATGTTCTTTCTCATTCTGCTTTCATACGTTCTTTTTTTAAAAGTTTCCTTATTTGTAAATAAGGGTAATGATACACATCTCATAGGATTAATAAAATAATATATGTAAACACATGTAAGTCACCTAGTCATGTATTTTCTCAGCTCTTTCCATTGAAAATACTTTCTTTTGGTCTAATTTCTTTTCTGTGTAAATTTTTCTCTCAACTATTTTCTTTATATATTATATCTGATGTTAAATTTTAAGTTAATAAAATGAAATTCTTCATACAATGGGATATCTATTTAGGAGAGAGTTGATTAATCACTTTATAGACAACATTTGAATGAACTGTTTTTGCCAAAATAATTCTTTAAAGAATAACTTAACAAATATATTTCAGAGTATCTTGTCAAGGTGTCATTCCAAAAGTCATCTTTCTATTTTGAATGACCTTTATGTTTTAGTTTTTACTAGGTTTTATGCTGTATTAAAATTACGTATTGCCATCTTAAAAATATGTACAGTATATATTGTGAGCCATGCATTGATTTCATTGTAACTTTAATTTTGTTTTATTGTCTGAGAGCAATTGTCTTTTTATCAATTCTAGAGCCATTTTTATGAGTGATTGAAAATGAGAGTATTTGGAACCATAATTCAATAACTAGCAATTGGGTTCCTTTTGTAATCGGATAAATAATAAAAATTCAGGGACTGGATTTTTAATACTTATGCAAATTTTATTTTTATAGTAATGACTTAATTGGAAGTGAGGTTTTTTTTTTTTTTTTTAAAATAAGCTTTTTCTTACCTGATTCCTTTACAATTCAGGATGGAGAAGGTGACAAAAGGCTTGTTAGAGAAAATGATATTTAAGCTGAGACCTGAAAGGTGAATAACATTTACCCAACTAAATTGGGGATGAGGATATTAGGGGTGGATGGTAGGTTGTATAATTATAATTAATGTTTTGATCATTAATAAGATACCCATATAAGGGTACTAAATAAGTCTTGAATCTAAAAGAACTAATTATACTAAACCAAGAGAACTGAAAATAAGAGCAAATGGAGTAAGTTTAAGGGCTACTTCATGCAATGTATTAAGAGTATTCTTTTATTCTTGAAAATCTATTTCTATATATTTAGTAAACTAAACTTTATACATTCACATAGCTGTATATTTCTTCTACAGATGAATTTTTTTCTGCTCACTCATTGCTCAGGCCATTGTATTAAAATTCTTTTAAGTGCTTGCAATAACCACCACACATCCTACACTATTATCGAAAATCAACGTCGTACCCCACATGTATGTATAATAAAAATAAAAATAAAAAAATAAAAAAATAAAAATTGAAAAAAATGAGTAGAAATCTGTTTAATTATTGGACATCTTTTATGTGCTAGACAAAATGTAATTTGTTCCATAATAGCTGAAGGGGTGGGCGGGGCCAGGTGAGAGTGATTAATGGAAGAAGGTATTTAATGAAAGGTGAATAAGTTTTATTTAGATAAAGTAGGAATAAGGGTGTTGGGGGTAGGAGTAGAGAATGGAGAGCATATTCCAGATAAAGAGTAATGTATTTAAATATGTCTGTTAAAGAAGAAGCTATGAGTAATGATAGCTATGGTAAAAGCTATCAATTATTCAATGATTATTATTACCATTATTATGCTGCTGTTCAAAGCAGTTAACATGTACTAACATTTTTAATCTTTATTACAAGCACATAAGGGACCTATTATTATTATTCCATTTTCATTGACTGATTATAACTATCCTTTATGGTATATGGTTCTCTCCTTTTCATAGAGTCTGAATTTTGGAACTTTGATATTATTTTATTTTGGTTTTAGTTAGCCAGAAGTGGTCTCTAGGCATATTTTAGTGCAAAGACAAAATATTTACTATTGAAAAGAATAGTATATTAAAATATGGTGCATATTAGTAATCAAATCTATAATAATCAAGTCTGTGACTGCTAAAATTAACTTCTAATTTCCAGTTTGCAAGAAATAGAGGAGACAGAGGAGATGATAATCAATATTGTGAAAAAATAGTAAGACAAATCCAGATTGTGACACATTCTGAAAGATAACTGGCCTGAACTTAAAAAACAAAATGGATCCTGGATTTAAAAAAAAATATATGTAAGATATTTTGGGGACAACTGGAAAATTTTGAATATGAGCTGTGTATTAGATGATATGAAATATTATTCATTTTCTTAGGTGTGATAATGGTATTGTGGTATGTAGGAGAAGGTTCTTATTCTAAGAATATGCATGCAGATGTATATTTATTTAGGGGTAAAATGTCATGTTTGGAAAAATTACAGTATAATAATTTTTGTAAAATTTTTTTATGAGGTTGTTGGTGGAATTTATAAGCATCAAACATTTATAAAATGCTTAAATTTAATTTCTTTTTATTTCCTTCTAATTTTTCTTATATTTATCACCATGTGACTTGTTGGCTTATTTTTTAATCCATCCTCATTCCCATCCTCAATAGAGTGTCACTTTGAGAACTGAGACTTTCTGTTATTCACTGCTTACTTCACAGCACTAAGGATGGTACCTGGTACATAGTAGGCAGTAATCAATATTTTTTGAGTGAAGTTATGAATAAGGATAACCAATCTCAACTAGCCTTACCATGTCTATGTAACTCAAAATATCTTTAATATTTTTGACTAGTTTCAGTATTATAAACCAGAAACAATAATAGATTGTTCCTTATGTTTCAGGGAAGTTGGGAAAAAAGAATTTTGAAGAGTTTAAATAGTATGTGCACTGAACTGAGTATCCCATTGGCACGAAAGGTACTTTTAATATTTTTCTGTTTAAATATCTTATTGTGAATCAGGTACTAGAAAGTATCAAGAAGTTATATAACTGTTAGGCATGTTTATTCTTTTTTGATGGTATGTCAGCTTGTTTTGAAACAAAAATTTGTAAGAGGCCAATTATGTTTGGGTATATTTCATATAGATTTCTATTTTGTATGCTGTAATGATTATTGTAATAAACCAATATCTTTGAGGATAAATAGAAATATAGAATCTGTAGTATAGATTCTATATCTATTTGGCTGTAAAGAATATGAGTACACCTTAAAGATTTCAATTACCTTTGGTCTCCTTTTTGGTTAATTCAGCACAATAGTCCTATTCCTTGAATCAGAGGTGGAGTTCAGGCATACTATGATCTTGTAATAGGCAATATGGTATCATCTTTCCGTATTAACATAGGGAATGGAGAGAATAATTTCTCATCACTCTGCAGAACTGAATTCTGTTTAGATCTAATACTCAACATTTATTTGTCACTCCGGGCTTTGATGGGAGAGAGATGGGAAAGGAGAGAAAAGACATTTGAGGGATATTCTAGAGTCCTTAAGTCCAAGAGAATAAGTTTCCCTTCATTCTTCCTACCTGCTATTCATTCCCTGCTGTTGGACAGGATATAGTGGATATACTTTGAATAGGATCCAAGGACAATTCACTGAAGGCACCAGAAGAATGGTGTAAAAAAAAAAGGATAGATTTATATGAAAAACTGTCTAAATATGTAGTATTGTGTAATATACTGTCTTTCATATAGGAAGATGATGCTACTGACTCACAGTCACACTCTCTTGGCCAGTCCCCCTTGTGATGCATTTCTGAGATTGCTGGATGGGGTAAGAGATGTAGTATGTGGCTGAGGAGCAGTTTTTCTTTGTGAAATTTACTGGCCAGTACAGATTATTTACCTTCTTTTCTTGGACTCATTAGTACCGTATTCTCAATGAGCCATTGAGACTAGATATAATAGTTAAATAATAATAATTTAAGTGTAATTCCCAAAAAAGTTCTCCATGTTTAATTATTTTTTCTTATGTTATCATGGCTTACTTAAATTTTAAACAAGTTATTGATTGTTTTTTTAGCTGCATTGCTAAACCTCAACAAATGAAATAATGTAAAAATTCCCTTTTTTAGAGGCCAGTTGGAGAACAGAAAGAACTTCTCAATAAATGGAATGAAATGGGAACCGATGAGCCAGGTATATGAAGAACCTTTTTCAAAATGTAGTATTGGGAAAAGAATTGCCATCTTAAGTACAGATCCAAAGGGACATAATTAGTAATCCTTTTGGAAGGACAGAAACTTTCCTTCCCCACTAATTTCTTATCATTCGTTTTGTTTGTTTAAACTTCTATTTACAGTTTAAGAATTCTTAGAGTTGGTCTATGTTCTCCATTATTCTGAGAATATTTAAATCATTTATCCTTTATTAAAGCAGCATTTTAAAACATTTTTATAAAGGAGTAAATTAAATTTATTCAGTGGATTCCCGTGACTCTTGTCTTTTAATTAAGGTAAAAATATTTTGCAAATTTAATTACATTGAGATGTTAAAAATAGGTTAAATAGTAAAAAATAAATTTCAAGACTTTAAAGTGTTTTTAAGAATTTATTTTGGTTATTTTAATATTTAAAACCTAGTTGATTTTATAAACATATAATGAATAGCAAGTCTATTTACTATGATAAATAGATGCCTGTAATTGTATAGACGGACATGTTCATAACCCCTCTCTTCCCCTCCTTCACCACTGCTAAAAAAAAAAAATGTGGAGGATTATGCAAGAAATAAATGCTGGCATGGAGGAAGCAGTGTGTTATTGGAGTCCAAATGGAGAGCAGTTAAAGACAACTAGAGGAATTCACTAAGAAAGCATTGTTTGTATTCTAAGTACTTTGAGAATTCTCATGTAGAACCTTAACGTTACATTGATTTTGTTTTGTCAATTCAGTTATACATAATTTATTATAATTTATGAATAGGAGACATTTAATTTCTTTTAGAATATGTCATCTAGGCTGTCAAAGGGAGAGCTATCAAGGCTGTCTTTTCATTTTTGTGTTCCCAATACTTAACACAATGTGTGACAAATAATTGATACTCAGCAAATGTTTGAATTAGTCTATGTGCACAGCAACATATGAAAGAATCATTAACATTTGTTATTAATAACACTTCATATTATATATTAACTCAGATTTTGTGTGAATCTATCTTATTGTAGATTTAAGCCATTTCAGACCTGTTTATGCACCTAAGGATTTTCTTGAGGTAGGTTCTGTTGGATAAATATACATATGTTAGTGAAGGAGTAATGTGAAAGAAATGACTATGCCTTCCTCAGATACAAGAGTGTATCTGTCATAATCTTCTCCACTGGATTCTTGATGATTTCTTTCCTTTAAGAGTTTCAATTAAAATATATAATGTGAAAGAAATGACTATGCCTTCCTCAGATACAAGAGTGTATCTGTCATCATAATCTTCTCCACTGGATTCTTGATGATTTCTTTCCTTTAAGAGTTTCAATTAAAATATTTTTTTAAATCATTATTATTTTTTTCAGGAAAATGCATGGTAATTGTTACAAAAATAAGAAAAATACATAAGAATAAAATTTTAAATAAAGATTACTCATAATACCATCACACAGCAATAACCACTATTGTTACTATACTTTTTAAACTAATAATATATTGTGAACATTTTCTGTGTCATTATCTATATTAACTGAGTTATATTACATTGTATTTTATTATATGAATTGACCATAATTTATTTAAGTAATTCCCTGTAATGGGATATTTAAGTTGTTTCATATTTTTTCTTTATAAACAGTACTTCATTAACATTCTTTCTGCACTATCTTTGCAAACATATTTAATTATTTCCTTAGAATCATATTCCATGTTCATACATATAGAAGTGAGATTTTTAGATTATTAAGATATTTTTAGCTGCTTATTTTTGAAAATTATATAAATGGTCTTTTTTGTTAGCTCTGCTTCTGAAAAATTTTTTTTCCTTATGGGTTTGGTTTAAAAGAGATACCCTTCAGTGTTACTCAGCCATCTTTCTAAAAATCTTGTCAGTTTCTGTTTTAAAAGTGTTAGAGTTTTTTCTAAAATTTTCCCTAATAAATATTGCAATCAAGTGAATTTTTTTTTTTTCTATCACCTTCCCTGGTAAAATAGTATAATCAAGCAAGTTTATTTTTTCTAACCATCAAAAAGTTTTTATTTATAATTAAATTCTTAACCTTTAGAGTTTTACATGTTAGATCATTAGTTGGAATATTAAAACCATTCTAATTAGAAGTATGTGTATGCTATTATATTTTAACATATCAATATAATTTTATACTATTTTAGAATTCAACTAAAGTATATTCATAACCCCAAATAGTTTTAAATTTTGTGGTGATACATCAAGAATATCACTGCCAATTTTCTAACTGTAAACATCCTATAAAGAAACTAACTAATTTTGTTGGATTTGTTTTTAAAGGTATTAATTAATCTTCGCAACCCAAATTATGAAAATGGTGATTCTCTTAGTTTCAGGACTCATTTGGGTTTAATCCAAGTTCCTCTGAGAGTAAAAGACATCCCAGAATTGGTAAGTACAGACATTTAAAAATAAATTAATACATTTTAGAAGACACCATTAGAAAAATGTTTTAGTGCAGCACCTATCTGAAGCAATAGGGTAATCTACTCATCAAACAAATTAATAAAGCAACATTTCTTTTTTATTGCAAATATGTATATAGAGAGAGTAAGCTGCTTTGCTGGTAGGACTAAAAATGAGCTTGTGTTGACCTATAAATGGCCTTGCTTATTCTTCATTTTAATAAACAACAGATTTAGGAGACAGCTTGTTGGGATTCAGGTGTCTGATGTATGGTTATGAAACTGCTTGAAACAAATTATGGGTTTTATAAAATTATTTTTAAGGAAGTATTTTCTTTAATCAAGCTTTATGGAGCTTGTAACATGGTGAGGCACTGAGGAAGACCGGGAAGATAAGAATGAATTAGAGACAGTCTTTCTGGAGACCATCACATTTTAGTGAGAAAGTTCATTATAAATGAAAGGTGGGAGAGATTTCCCGATGGTGGAGTTAAGAAATTATCACTCTTTGTTCTCTTGTTAATCACTCCAAAGCAATAAGAAGCACAGAAATGTAAATACTGTCTTTGGTGGAACTAGGAGACCACTTACAACTCTGAGCTTTAATGTGTTAAGATAGAGAGCTGGTGATAAATACCTCAGACACTGGGGAGACAGTCAAACCTAAATGCCTCTAGAAGACGGGAAGTATGGATGAAAAGTGTGCTGGAAATCAGATTATTATCTTTCAGCTCTGAATTCACCTTTTTTTGCTCTGCTTTACTGTACTAGAACTGGACCCATAAACATTTCTCCTTTGCCAGCTGGCCTGTTAGGCTTTGTCAGTAGAAAGTTGTGGAGGGATACTACAAGGCCGTAACAGGAGGACGGGGCTTCCATTTCTGTCCTATGTGCAAGAGCCAGCAAATCAGCCTTCAGGAGGCCCAGTAGCTCCAGCCTGCTCCCTTCAGCAAGATTTTCCATCATCCCTGATCTGCATGTTTCTGTGGCAGCCACTCCCTCTACAGACAGGTCCAAATCTAAGACTTGTGGACTAGAGAGACCCTTTTCTGAGTTCTTAGTTCCTTCTTTGTTCACTCTTCTTCAGCCTAGAAGTTGGTTGTTTTCTGCATTTGCTACTTCTATTCTTCCCTCTTGACATTTCTGGCATGGTTTCTATTTCCTGACTAGAGACTGATATAAGAGGCAAGATGATTATCTCCATAGAACCTCAGAAAGTCTCCAGAATTGGAGACAACACATGTTATCAAAGGCTGTAGTGAGCCATAGAGCTGCACATGGAGATTATGTGAAAGTCTGTATCAGGAGGAGTTAGACCCCCAGATTCTCACCATCATGCATAGTCAGATGACTCTTCCTACCCCACAGGAGACCAGAGGTATATTCACCTGAAATACAGAATTCAAAAGGCTGTGCATTCGAAGCCCTCAGACACAGATCAGGTACGACATATTGAAAACAGAGGGCTTAAGTGAAAGTCTGCTGAATGGTGACACTAATACTCCTGTCCCTACCACCACCACTATGACTTCCCTACCTTCCACCAACTCTAGAATACTAGAGAAAAGACTAACAGGGATTTAGAGAAACCTTACAAAAAAGACAGCTTGCTGGCTATAAAACTGCCCCACAGTGAAGCCCACCACACTCTACACCCAATCCTTGCAGGTAGAGTTTTCAGTCAGTTTTTTATTGCCTCATTTCTAAATATGAATGACCAAGCTAGTATCTCCAGACATTTAAACTCTTCCAATTTGAAAGGTGGAGATAAAACTAAAGCAAAACAAAAACAAAAACAAACCAAAAAACATAAAACAAGAAGTAGCCTATTTAGGGAATGACCACTAATAGATGTTTCAGGTTTGGATTTACATTCACATTCACAGGTTACCATAGACTATGACCTGGCACCAGGTTCACTTAGATTTGTAGAATGATACAGGACAGAAAACATAGCATGTCAGTGCACCAAAATGCCACTGTCAGGTAGATCATCACTGGAAGTCCTTACAACCATCCAGATGCTACTTCCTAGCCCCAAAAGGAATGCAGTGATTGGAAGTGACAAGGTTACACAGGCACGATATAGGGAAGTCCCAAACACAATAGGTAGCATTTCTTATAATACATGAACACAGCTTCCAGATCCTCTCAAAGGGCGCCACACAAGGCAACTAAGGCCTGTGTTTTCCAATAGGTTTTTATAGTCCACCTACAGTCCTCCATTTTAGATGTAGTTTACCAGTCAACTGTCATATTTTTTCAATAAATAACATTGCTTAGTAATATAGCTGGCATTCCTCTTAGTATTTTCTTGTAATCCAGTACATTTTTAGAGCAACAGTGCTGGCCAAAGGTGAACCCAAGGTTATCTTATGTGGACATGTTAATCATTTCTTCCCAAAAGAAAACTTTAAAGAAATAGTACATGGGTACTTCAAAAAATTCGTGGTAAAATAGAATTGAAAGATGATATGAATCTTTCCATGAATTTTTTGAAGTACCATCATATTCTCAGAGTAAGAGAAAATATTACTCATGAAACAAGAACAGAATTTTATCAAAACAAAACAGTGAGTTAAAAAGAGCTTTTGGATCAAGAATATGATATGAAAAGAAAAAAAAAAAGATCCGTAGTAGCCTTGAAAATAAAGCTGAGGGAAATCTTTATCAGAAGATAGAGAAGAAAGCGAAAAGTGAAGGAAATGAAAAATAAGAGGAAAAAGATTATATATATATATATATATATATATATTTTTTTTTTGGTCTTTTTTTTTCGTGACCGGTAACAGGATCGCAACCCTCGGTGTCGCGCCCGTACCGGGACCGGCAACGGGATCGCAACCTTCCGTGTCGTGCCCACACCGCGCTCAACCAGTGAGCGGACCGGTCTCTATATGGGATCCGAACCCTCAGCGGGAGCGCCGCCACACTCCCAAGCACCGCACTCTACCAAGTGCGCCACCGGGCCGGCCCGGAAAAAGATATTTTAAGTTAGAAGATTAATCCAGGAAAACTAACATCTAACTAGTAAGAGTTCCAGAAAGAGAAAGCAGAGGCAATATAATTATTAAAATTTCCAAGACCTGAAAGATACGGATCTCCAGTATGAAAAGACCCACCAAGTATCTAGTTACATGAATGAAAGAGAATTCACACCCAGGCACCTGAAAAAGAGAAGACCCGAAAACTTTTTATAGAAGAAAAACAGGGTGTATGCAAAGTGTTAGGAATCAGAGTGGCATTTGACTTCTCAACGGCAATATTGTGAGCCAGAGATTTTGAAGTAATGACTTTAAAAATATGATATCAAACCTAGAATGTTGTATGTAACCAAGAGTCAGTCAAATGTGAAGGTGGAATAGACATTTGCAGATGTATGATGTACATGATCTAAAACATTTACTCTTATTCAGGGAGCTCTTGGTAGAAGTGCTTCAAACAAGGTCATAAACAGGAAAATATGGGACCCAGAATACAGGATTCCAACCAAAGAGAAGGATTCTTTTCAGAAATGAGAGTAAAGTTCCAGGTCAAAGGTTTTGCAACAGAACTGGAGCACAACAATCCGACTCTGGAGCACAAGATTGGAAGGTTTCAGGAGGGATGCCTGCAAGAAAAACACCAAAAGTATAGATGATCTCACAGGCTTGAGCACATGTAAAATTATACAGAAGAGGTTCTTTTCAGAGTTGTTAAAGGGTGTAGGAAGAGGCAAATGATTAGAGAAAATTGTAGAAGTGAAAAAATGGTTTCATTGTGTGAAAAAATATATAAGAAAGGAAACACTTTTAAATACTACATGGCTCACCAGTGAATAAAATTTACATAGTCATAATAATGCAGACTCTTATAATGCAGATTTCATCAAGAATTGATATATAATTATATTGGAAGAATGGAGGGAGGGAAAGAGAATGTACATGAGCTAAAATCTTCATTTACCATATAAAATCAATGTATGATATCTGAAACTGGTAGTTAAAAATAGCACTGTACACTTATTACTTGGAAATAATAATAAATACCAGGAAAAAAAAGCTGAAAGTGATTGTCCCTGGGTAGTGGGCCAATTATGATTGTGTGTGTGAGGGTATGCTGGGGAGTAGCATATATAACTTGGTGGTGGTGGTGTAAGTCTTTTAGTTGATCTGACTCCTTACACTATTTGCTGCATGCAGAGGCAGCATCACACGATGGTTAACTGATGACACTCTGAAGCCAACCAACCTGGGTTTAAATTCTGGCTCTGCCACTTATTGGCTGTGTGATGCTGAGCAAGTTATTTGTCATCTTTGAGCCTTAGTTTTCTCATCTGTAAAATAGGGATAATAAAGATATATAAGTGTTGTGCATATCAAATAAGTTATGATATATGGTGTGGGTTGAATTGTGTCTGCCCAAAAGATATATTGAAGTCTGAACTTCCAGTACCTGTGAAAGTGACCCTCTTTAGAAATAGGGTCTTTGCAGCTGCAATTAAGATGAGGGCTTAATGAAGTAGGGAGGGCTCTAAAATCTAGTATGACTGGTGTCCTTATAAGAAGAGGAGAAGAGACACAGAAGAGAGACACACAGGGACACACATATGACAATGGCAGAGATTTAGAGTGATGCATCTACAAGCTAAGAAACACCAAGGAGTGCTGGCAACACCAGAAGCTAAGAGAAGGGCATGGAACAATATCTCCCCTGGAGACTTCAGGAAGAGCAAGCCCTACTAATGCCTTGATTTTGGACTTCTAGCCTCCAGAACTATGAGAATAAATTTCTATTGTTAAAGCAACTTAGTTTGTGGGTTTTTTCTTTATAACAGTCCAAGGAAACTAATACAATATATAAAGCATGTAGGCAGTACTTGGAACACTGAACAGTATCTATTAACCATTACTATTTCAACTCTGATAAATATTAATTTTTAGAAAGTAATTTTTAAAAAATGTTAGATCCTATTGTTAAAGGTTTGTACAAAGTGCTGTGGCTGTACAGAAGGGGAAGTGGCAGATTCTTCTCCTGGAGGTGGTAGGAAGTCTTCTCAAAGCTACTTCCATTTGAACTAGGTCTTGAACGAGTTTACTAGGTAAATAGCAAGGAAAGGATAATTTAGGAAAAGCTTGAGCATAGGACTCAAGCCCCTATTAGTCCCTATTGCATGGGACTAATAATCTCTGTTTGAAGGTATCTTAAGCTGGAGTGAATGCATTCTTAGCTATTGGAGTACCAAAAGCCTGTGGCTAATTTTCAAGGAATCGTGGCTCTACACTCTAAGAGTATGGTTAGTCCTTCTCTTCTAGAGTTATTAGGGATAGTTTTCCCTGCCTCCCCTGTATCATGTGACCTGGTGATATATTTATTCTTACTCCAGGATGCATGGTTTATCTGTGACCCTGGTCTATCTGTATGAATACTGAACTTGGTGTGGCTCAGTGAGTCCTGTGATGCCATAATGAACAGCCCTTAAACCTAGTCACAATGTTATGTAGACTCATCCATACTAAAGGGAAATTTTTTAAAACTGAGATTTATTAATTCAAGCGAAGTGACTAAATCCTGTTTACTAATTCAGTCATGTTGAGGCAGCAGGTTGGAACTAGAGCTCAGTAGAGTGGTTCAGTATTTATTGAACTCCTCTGCTGTCAGTTTCTATGCTAAGTACAAGGGGGTGCAAATGTGTATGAGAGATAGTTCTTGTCTTGCAAGAGCAGCAGGCTAGTGGAGAGATGGATAGTAAAAAGACATTTTCATTATAATGTGGTTATGTGCTTGGACAGAGGTTGATAAATAATAATATATGTGCTTAGAAAGTTGTTTGTATAAGCCTGGAATACCAAGGTAGGCTTCCTGGAAGGCACGATACCTGGGATGAGTTTTGAAGGAAATCAGAGATTAGGGCCCACATTTGCTGAGCTGAGTGAAAAGTAGTCCAGAACAGTGAGGTAGAAAATGGATGTTCAGAGTTCTATTTATGCTCCTTAATATGTCTTAGCTACATAAAACTCTCCAGTTTGATTACAGAATCTAATATTGAAGTGGTTATTGGGCCTAAATCCCTTTTTTAGTATGAAAATCAAGGTTATTTAAAAAAATGAAATAACGTTATCATTATCAGTCTGATGATTTCAATGAAGGAAGAGTTTCCTAAAAAAACGGAAAATGGTGATTGAAAATGGAACAATAACACTAAATTTTTACCTCTTTAGTCATTAGAAATTTGTAACATAAGTTGTAGTGCTTTTTAAAGTGTAGATAAAATCAAGTTTAGTTAAAAACTGAAATATAATTGTAGTACTTAAAATCAATACGAAAATGAAATGTGTGTATGTGGGTGTAATGGTTGAACTGTCTTGTTAGGGACATTTGTAATTCATTAGCTTAAATAATAATAGATAATTAGGAAGGATTAAAACTAATTCCATTTTTTTTTATGGAAAAGGAAGTATGGTTTTAGCAATTAGAATAGTAACAAAACACTGAGCCAAATATTAATAGAAATATTTAATTACATATGGAATAAAAATAATGTGAATAATATGAGGTTTTTATATATTTAAAAAACACCAGACAAACATGATTACTTTCTCTAAACATTACTAGATAAGTAGAGGAAGTCTGGAGAGTAAATCCAATTTAACTTTATTTTAGCAGAGTGCATGATAGTACAATTTTACTTAAAAATCAATTTGTTCTGGATGTTTGCAGTGTTTAGTTGATTAAGAGCTGAGTAAATTATAGTACCATAGAAACCACAGATACAGGATCATAAATCATATTGGTAATTTTAGACAATTATTTTAGCAGATAAAATTGATAAGTACTATATATACTGTGTATGAGAGAGAGAGAGTGTATTTGTTTCAGGAAAGGTTTGAGTGTTAGTAGTTCTTTACTCAAAAGGATAATTATCATTCCTTACTTTACTGATTAGTCTTATTACCTAAAAAGGCAAAATCAAGAACTATTTTTTAAAAAGTTATTTTTAAACAATGGCAGCACTCATGTAGATCAAAAGCCATTAAAATTAAAGAGAAAACTTAGGTAGGAAAAATTAGAGGAAAGAAAAATATTACTAAAGGCTCTGCATTTGGAGAAAAATTTATTTACTTTCTTTTCCCATTATATATGTAAATTTTTCTTAAATGCTTATATCTTTGCTATTCGGGCTTATTTCACATGAAAATAATAAATATTATATAGTAATATGTGTAGTAAAAAGAATCATGGTTGTTATGCTCCTTAATTTTGGACTAATACATTATTATTTAGTTGTCTAGTAATGTGCTTTTCTTTTTTAGATATTTGAATGAAACAAAGATTTATTTTACATTTTGGTTTTTACTTAAGCTGATGTTTAGGTGAAGAAGATCTTTTAATAATGTGCAGCAAAGTCTGAAATGTATGTTAATTCTATGTATGTTATTTTTCAGAAAGAATGCTTTGTAGAACTTGGCTTAAATACAGGACAGCTGGGTATAGATGATTCTACACAAGTGCCTCCTGGTTAGTATTTCTGCCATATGTGTATAATTAATAATAAATGATAAATGAGAATAGGTTTAAGGTTTATTGTGCTATTTCCAAGTTAATCTAGTAACTTTTTTATATCTTCACACTAAGCAAGCTTTTGCCTCTTCTTGGTTACTGTTAATTATTTAAAAGAATCCTGTATGTTGTAATTATCAGAGTTCAACTAGATTTTGTCTTTTTATTTGGAGATCTTTAAAATAATTTTGAAAGTCATTAGACATTTATGTTATTTTGTTGTCAGAATCTTCATTGGCAACACTCATGTTTCCCTTTCCTGGCCATCACTATCTGTTTTTATTTTAGTATCACCAAGTTAAGTGAATACTGTCATCTAACTCAAGTAGATTTAGTCTTTAAAAATAGTGTCTTTTAAACCTTGATCATCCAGACAGTTTTCCTAACTTTTCTCTTTTTATGCACAAATTGAATGTACTTTTCATAAAAAGACCACATTGGTATTTAGCTATAATAAAGAGGAAGTAAAAATTGACTTAAATTATGGGATACCTATGTTGTAGTGGAAATAATACTAAACAGAGGTTAGGGGACTGTTCTAGTCTTTCCTCTGGCACTGGCTAGCTATATCAGCTGGGCAAGTCACTATATGTTTTTGGACTTATTTCTTCCTCTATAGAATAAGGCTATTTGTTATTACTATTTTAATAGTAATATTATATAATAATTACTATTATTATTACTATATAATAATAAGTGGTTATTGAGCACATACTATGTGTTACATGTATATTATCTCATTTTAACCTCTCAGCAACTCTAGAAGGTATGTATTATTACTTTAAAAAACTTTATTAATATATAATGCATATAGAAAAGTACATGTATCATGGGGACAGCTCAATGAATTTTTACAAATCGAATACACCTATCAAAATACCACCTGAAACAATAAACAGAAGCTCCCTTTCTACCCCTTTTTAATCTTTGTCCCTTAATTCAAAGACAACCACTATTCTGATTTCTAGCAGCATAGATTAGTTTTGTCAATTCTTGAACTTCATACAAATGGAAGTATATAGTGTGTCTCTTTGGCATTTAACTTCAACGTTATGTATGTGAAATTCAGCCATATTGTGTTAGTTTTGTCAATTCTTGAACTTCATACAAATGGAAGCATATAGTGTGTCTCTTTGGCATTTAACTTCAACGTTATGTATGTGAAATTCAGCCATATTGTTCTATATTGTTGTAGATTGTTTTCTTGCTTTACAGTGTTCCACTGTGTGCATATACCACACTTTTATCTATCCATTTTACTGTTGATGAGTATTTGGGAAGTTTCACATTTGGAGCTATTACAAATAAGGTTATTAAGAATATTCTAGTACATGTCTTTTGGTGAACATACAAAGGGTCTTCAAAAAGTTCATGGAAGGACTCATATTATATTTTAATTCAGTTTTTCTGTGAACTTTTTGAAGTACTGTTGTACCATTGTATGTGTACTCTCCTGTTGACTATACACCTGGGAATGCAGTTTCTAGGTTCTAGGGTTATATGTTCGGCTTTAGTAGATAACTGCCAAAGAGTTTTCAAAAGTTGTAGTACTAGTTTATACTTCCACCAACAATGTATAAGAGTTACAATTGCTGTATATCCTCTCTAATGCTTGGTGCATTCCATCTTCTTTGTTTTAGTCATTCTGGTAGCCTGTAGTTGTATTGCATTATGTTTTAAATTTTCTTATATGGTGTGAGGTAGATGTATTACCACCACTTTAAAGAAGTGGACATGTTAAGTAACTAGTGAAGGTCACAAAGCTAGTAAGTGGTGGAGATAGGATTCAAAACTAAGCAGTCTGCCTTCAAAGTCTGCTACACTATGCTGTCTCCCTCCTGCCACCTTAGATATTTGATCGCCTTTTCTTATTTTATAAGAAGATATCAGATATCTTATAGAATAAGATATACTTCCACTCATAGCCAGTGATAGTCATTTATAAGAAAAGGAATGGAAATATACAACCTTAAATTATATCTGTATTTTTCACTATTGAAATAATCTTTAAGAATGGTTTAAAATTATTCTAAATCTTATAATAGCTGCTTTAGAAAACTTAATATACAGTACTTCTTTATCCTAGAGTATAGATTTTTTTCTTTGATTCATTCATAATGTAACAAATGTGAGTCGAGACTGGCGAAGAAGGACCAGAGACTGGTGAATACATACATATATGACATAATCTCTACTCTTAAGGAAGATACAATGGCAAGTGACAGATTCAGTGTGGTATTTGCTATTATTATATATAAGGGGCAGTTGGAGCCAAGGAAGAAACAACTAAGCCTGCCTGGAAGAGAGTGATAATCTCTAGTTGATGCAATTATTTTTGTTCTCTCTACTTTTCAAAGCAGGACTGCTAAAAATCGGGTTAAATTAGTGGTCATCCGATGAGATTGTTTTTAGCGGTATAGTACTTAGATTTTTGCTTGACTTGAGAATAGCTAGGCAACAGTATTACTTGGAAAGAATGGGGTTATATATAACTACTTTTGCCTAGAATTCACTGTTATTTTTATTTTTAAGTCTTTGTCTATGGCTTTGGTTAAATTGGAAATGTAATATGAAATATTTGAAAACATTGCTAATCCTATGTTTGGTTACAGGCAAGTTTTATATTTAGGATTAAGTTTAAGTGAAACGTAAAGGAACTGTGTTCTTCTTATTCATCTTTAAAGACTGTTTTACCTATATTTTATCATTAGTGTTCTTCAATTATTATATTGGAAGCACATTCCTCATTTATTAACTTACCAGCTTTTATGTAAAAGTCAGGAGAGAAGTCCTTACCATTGTACTATAGAATTCTTATTTAACAATAATAAAAAAACATTAGGCATATCTATTATTCTTACAAACTCTCATGCATTTATTTTAAATGCACACACATTTATATCTACTATGGAAACGATTTGTAAGACTGATGTTAACGGGATGAGCAGGATCAGCATTCTTTCATAACGTATATGATAAAGGGGGAGACATATGTCTGATGTTATTGTCTGCAGATATATAATAATGAATCTTATTAGATGGGGGTTCTGCTAAATAGACATTTTCTACAGCATGTTATTTCTAAAACAAAAAAGCATCTTTAGTTGGCACAGCAATTCCTGAAGTGTGTTCTATGGAGCACTCATTTTTTGGCGGGGAGGGGGCATTTATTTATTTATTTATTTATTTTATTTTTATTTTTTAATTTAATTTTATTTTGTCAATATACAATGTGGTTGATTATTGTGGCCCATTACCCAAACCTCTCTCCCTCTTCCCCTCCCTTTCAACAATGTCCTTTCTGTTTCTTTGTCGTATCAATTTCAAGGAATTGTAATTGTTGTGTCTTCTTCCCTTTGCCCCCCCATCCCCGGTTGTTTGTGTATTTATTTATTTATTTTTAGCTCCCACCAATAAGTGAGAACATGTGATATTTCTCTTTCTGTGCCTGACTTGTTTCACTTAATATAATTCTCTCTAGGTCCATCCATGTTGTTGCAAATGGCAGTATTTCATTCTTTTTTATAGCAGAGTAGTATTCCGTTGTGTAGATATATCCCATATTCCATATCTACTCATCTGATGATGGACGTTTGGGCTGGTTCCAACTCTTAGCTATTGTAAAGGGTGCTGCAATGAACATTGAGTAACAGGTACACCTTCGACTTAATCATTACCATTCCTCTGGGTATATTCCCAGCAGTGGGATAGCTGGGTCATATGGTTGACACCTTACAGCTTTCTCAGCACTGTGAGGAATTATCAAGTTCAAAAGAAATATAAAGGGCTTTCTTTTCAATAGGTCA